ATAGGTGAATATAGACGAGTTGTGTATGAATGCAATCTTATAAAATTATAGCCCCAAACAAAACACAAGTTAAAACAAGGCGTGGAAAAGTCATTTTCATTTTTTGGCGTTCAAGTTTAATTTGAGCGATAGAAATATCGCCTGATATTTCACTTAAATATCACATTTAATTGTCGTTCAAAGAAAAGAAGTGTCGAAGGTCGTTTTCGATTACTTTTTTAATCTTTAAATTGAAAAAATGCGAAGGCTGACTGATTAATTGTTGTGAAGACTTGGAGCAGTTATTAAGTGAAGCCCCTTTATATTCTACAGTGAAAAATCGCTGGTCAGGTATATACATGTACCTTTAAATACACCTGTATGCAAAATTTAACCAAAATTTATCGTACGGAAATCAAGTTATGGACACTTTTCTGAATTAAAGCTAGGATGTTATGGGGGCCCGTTTTCAGAAATAATGAACCTTTTTATACTTAAAAATATCTTTCTGGTGAAACACGTTTTCCCATTATTGTGTTTAAGAAACAAATAATAACATTCAGCTTACAATCCACTTAAGCAAAATTATTGTTTCTACTGAAAAATTTATTATATATGTATACAAATGTTATCCTACCCCACCCATTTTAACACTTGTTTGACCATTTTCCTACTTAGGGAGCCTAATTAAAAAAATCCGTAAAAATTACCTAAATGAGCGCCGGTTTTCAAAGTTTTCCTAATTTTTTAAAAGATATATTGGTTGATCTTGTAAAATAATAAATACTTGTACCATCTAGTTTTGATTTTTTTACACTTTGAAATTATCAGGTTCTATATTTATTATTAGATTTAGCCCGTTTAAGCCAATAAATACCTATGTTTAAAAGAAAAAAGGTTGACACTTCTGGGGTTTGAACCCACAGATTACACTTAAGCTTCCCTTTAGTTAGTAATTGGCTCTTTCTCAGCACCGTTTGTCTGTCGCTGTCCGATTTGTGCCCTTGTATGCACCGTTGTTTTATTTGAATATTGCTGGCGTTGCGTCTTGATGATTATTATTTTCATAATACAAGCTAAAAAGCGCTAAATTATTATTAAAAAATCCCCAAAAATACAATAGATAATTTAGTATCTATGCTCACCACCTTTTCTGTTTTCAGCAAGACATTTTTTAAAAGGTAGAGGTATTGTTATAGTCTTGTCGATGTTGCCGTTGACGTTGCTATTTATGTAACCGTTGCCGTCCGCAAACGTGTATGTTTATCATAACTTTTTAGGTTCTTGATGTATTGTCTAAAACGTTGGCCACAATGACCTTGACCTTGAAGGTTAAATCATTGAATTTTCACTGCAATTTGCCTTAATTGATAGTAACTTGGTAATAAATAAATGGATTATCTTCAAACTTTGACAGAACAACATTTTGGACAAGACCTTCTTAAAGCTTAACTAACCTTGCTCTTGAACTTTAGATGACCTTGACCGTCAAGATCAATTATTGATTTTTTGTTTAATTGTCATAATTTTAATATTTATATATGGATTTGATTTAAACTTAGACAAACCAAGACTAGCTACCAAATAAACATATTGAATAATTTAGATGTGACTTTGACCTTAAATTGACCTTAACTGTCATTGTCAAATTAATGAAATTCTATTGTTGTTGTTTTTTCTGTAAATTGCTTAGCTTTGTTATTTATAATAGATGGATTAACTTCATATTATCATACAACATCTTTTATGTCAGGATCTTTGTGTATATCTAACTCAAACTGACATTGACTCAAGTATGACTTTGACCTTGAAGGACAAATTATTTTATTTTCAATGATTATCGCTATAATTGGCTGTAACTTGGTAATAATTCAATGGATTATTTTCATACTTGGACAAACCACCTTTTGGAAATGATATTCTTAAAGGTTCAACTGACCTTGACCTTGAGTTTTAAATGACCTTGACTGTGAGGTCAAAGTGTTGAATTTGGTTAAATTGTCATTATTTTGATATTTATGTAGGTATTTGATTCATATGTGGACAAAACAACACAAGTGACCAAACAGACTTGTGGAATAATTTAAATATGACCTTGACCTTTAAATGTCCTTTACTGTCAAATGATTGGATTTTATATTATTTTCTTAACTTTGTTATTTATTTATGAAAAGGATTCATATTTGGACGAAACAACAAGTGTGACAAAACAGACCTACATGTAGAAATAATAATAAAAGGAAAAGCTTTCTTTTTCTTTAATTCTCTGTTTTAAGTTTGTGTAAACCGTTTATTTGTTTTCTTTTAGAAAAAGTGAAAAAGTCGAGCGTTGCCCCTATTCTAATGTGACACTTGTTTATAATTACACCATGTAAAGGATAACAAAGGTTTCTACTGTAAAAACAGACAAATTGAAATATGCATAAGGCTATTTCTCTATCAATAACAATATCATTTAAATATCTTAATCTAAATATTTTTTTTATTTTTTTATCAAACGATCTGTTATATATGAAATATCGCTATAAACAACAATAATTTTGAAAACATGTTCCTGTTTCGAGACATCATTTTTAAAATATCAAGAAATCAATTGTACAATAATTTAAAAAATATCATGTTTGTTTATTAACAGATGATGCTGTAACAAAATCTGGGTGGAAAAAAGACGGGAAGAGAATGGCACAGAAGCCAGACAACCGTGTCCATCTATTCCGTTTACAAATTATCATCATAGATGGAGGTCTCCTTGTTCTAAGAAATATAATTGATCAGAAACTGACTGCTCAATGCTTAACTCTAAGTGCATGTTTGAATAACGAAAAGGCAACAATTACACGTTTGAAAAGCCGCGCCGTTATAACACAGGCACAATATGACATATTGTTTCCTACAGGTGGCCAAGCCCCAACTACGTCGGAGATGGACTTCACGCTTATCATATGTCTTCTAAGATGCTTGAAGTGTTTTGGATTGAATAAGAAATTTGACTGGAGCACAAAACCCATTTCAACCGATAAAACAGTTGAGGCAGATATATATCGGTTAAAAGCTTATCGAAATAAAGTAAGTATGCCGTAAGAAAGTCATTACTATTTGAAAACTTTCAATGTGGCAGGAGAATGACATATAATTTCTGGAATACAAAATTTATGTTTTAAAGGTACAAGCAAGACTCTTTTTAGTCTCATGAGAATAAAGTGCATTGCCTTAAAACATATTATAACATTATTTTTGTACAAGAAGAAGTGCATTTAAAGCGCATCGACATTCATTTGCATAATTTTTCTGTGTTATGCTCATTGAATTACTTCCTTTGACTATCTGACGAACCTTCAGATATAGTTTTATCCGCTATAACACTTGTTATGCGAATTATCATTTCAGATATGTCATCTGCCTACAACAACTGGAATACAACCTAATGATTTTGTAAATTGGTGGAATGACATTGAGCAGGTAAGCACAATTATGGAACGCCATAGCTGCCTCATGTTATTATATTTCATTTTATCTTGTCCAGAAAGAGTCTTATTATGTCAAATATAAGCGTTGTAAGGCCATTGTAATTTGTCGACTTGTCTCAACATTGCCTTATTATGCGTAACAGTAGTCTTATCTCTTTAACATGTGATGATGACTTGTGTAAACTTTTTTTAATTTTTTCAAACAGTAGTGTTATCATGTCAAAATGTCTTTTTTGGCTTGTCTGAAATGTGTCATATTATGTCAACTAGTCGCGCTATTTGGTCAAATTGTGGAGCTGTTTTGTCTAAAGACTGTCTGATCATTTGAAACAGTAGTGTTCTATTGTGGTAATTTGCTGTTGACTTGAAAAAGCACAGCTTTATTTTATCAAACTGCCATGCTATTTTGTCAAAATACGGTGTTTAAATGCCTTAACATTGTCTTATTGTGCAAAACAACTGTGTTAATTTGCCAACGTACACTACTGAGTTGTCTTTTTATATCAAATTTTCGAAGTATCTTGCCGAAATGGGGTGTTGACTGGGCTAAATCATGCCTTATTATGATAAAATGTATGCTATTTTGTCAAAAAAGCGGTTTCGGCTGGTTAAAACTCAGTCTTATAAAGTCAAAAAATTGCGGTAACTTGTCGGAATGTGGTAATGACTTGTCTAAACTCTTTCTTATAATGTAAAACAAAAGTGTTAAATTGTCGAAATTTGATGTTTTCTTGTAAAACACAGAAATAGTCTTATTATGTCTGATATTTGTGTAAATTTGTTCAAATTTAGTTCTGTCTTGAGAAAGCGCTGTCTAATTTTGCTAAACTGTCCCGTTATCTTTTTTGCCCTATCTTTTCACGCTCTGCGCGGGCTCTGGTCACGTGATACTAAATTTTGACAACATCGCATCTGGACAGGATAACACGATTATCTGACATAATGAGACAGTATTAAGACAAGTTAACATCTTGAACTGGCAAGTTAACGCCATTGTACAACATAATGATACTGTGTTTCAACAAGTAAACATCACATTTGAAAAAAGAAAAAATGATACTTCGCCATGAAAGGACGATGTTTATTAAAATTAAAACTGAACCTTGACAAAATAAAATGACACTTTGTCAAAAAGACAGTAATTTTAGACAAGTCATCACCACGTTTCGACAAGATGATATGACTATTTGACATTATAAGACGAATATAGACAAGTTGAATCTGCATTTGGACACAATAGCATGACAGTTTGACAAATTAAAATAGCGTTTTAACATTTCATAACCATAATTTGTAAAGATACCACCATTATTTCACATACAACGACGGTGTTTAGGCCGGTTAACATAAAGTTTGGATAAAATAGCATGGCGATCTGAGAAAATAAGGCAGTGTTTAGACATGTCAATACCATCTTTCGACAAGTAAACAATACTGTTTGACATAATAAAATAACGTTTACACAAACAAACATAATTTATTGGCAAGTCAACATTAGTATTTCACATAATAAGTATATTTCTAGACAGGATAACAACAGTTTTAGACAAGAAAGCATGATGTTTTGACATAATAAGACAGAATAACACCACCTCATACAAAGCAACATAACAGTTTGACAAAACAGGACAGAGCTCAGCCAGGTCAATATAACGGTTGAACAAGATATCACTACCAGCCGAAATAATAAGACATGAGTTTGACAAGTTGACACCAAGTTCCGACAAGATAACACTACTGTTTCAGATAATAAGACAATTTCTAGACAAATTACCACCACAGTTGGACAAGACAGCATGCTATTTTAACATAAAAGACATTCTCTAAGCAAGATAACACCGAATTTGAATACAATGACATGGCAGTCTGACAAAATGCGACTGTGTTTAGACAAGTCATACCTTATTTGGACAAGACAAAATGACAGTATAACATAATACAACAGTGTCATAACATACCAGGATCACATTTGGATAAGATTAGACCAATTTCCGACAAGATAACACTACTGTTTCACATGATAAGACAATTTCAAGACAATTCAACACCACATTTAAACAAGTCTGTGTTCAGACATATTGAAATCTAAATTCGAAAAGATGGCGTGCATGTTAGACATATTAAGACTTACATTCGGCATGTTAACACCGGATTTGCATATGATAACATGACGTTTTGAAATAATTAGACAGTGTTTAGACAAGTCAGCACTACGTTTTGACAAGAAAATGAATATTTGACCTAATAAGACTTCGTTAAGACAGGTTCTCATAAAACGTTGGCAAGCCAACACTTCTATTAAACATAATAAGACGTTTTTAGGGGAAAATGAAACGAAATGTAACAACATGAGGCAGCTTTGGCGTTCCATACACAATGGTTTAAGAACATTGTTTATTATTCTGTAAGTTTCTCCAATTCATATCTCTAAGAGAGTTATGTACTTTTAATCGAAACGACAGTTATATGTTGTAACCATTTAAATTACAAACTACCTCGCCAATAAATTTAGTATTGAATCTACAAAAATTAAAACTGAGTTACGCTTCGTCGCTTACGACTGCATGGTATATGTCATTTTATATTGACCGAATTTCATTTCATTAGTCATTTGTTTCTGCAAACTGGACAAAGGTATTTCCATAATACAATGTATGTACTTGTTGTTTTTTCATTAAAATGATGCACCTGATCAAATTGTTTGTCAATAAAATCAGTCGATAACAAGGTAGAATACATGAACAATGCGTTTATTTGTGTTATATAAATCATTCATTTTATTCAAATACATTTTATGCAATGATCTGTGAGTATTTGTATGGTAAATCACTAACGTTATTAAATAAAGAAATACAGAAACTTACATATTTGATGAAAAAAGATAATATAAAACAAATTCTAAGCTGCTTAGTCCAATCGGATTCCTTTCAGATACTTGTTCGACAAAGTTCTCCAGCTCTGAACATCAAGCAAACAATTGCCGAATTCAAAACCTGTCAACTAGATCCGGAGGAAGAGAAAAGGTTACAAGAAGAAGTAAAAAAGTGGAAGGACTATGAAGCCGTTGTTGACCGATTGGATGAAGAAATGATACAAGTGCAAACAGATGTTGCTGAAGTTAAGAAAGAAGTTGAAGCAAAGTTTACCGGAGTGGAGAAAGACATGAAAGAAGTAGAGGCAAAGATTACCGGAGTGGAGGAAAAACTCGAGAAGATAGAAAAACGACAAGATGCAGGTCTGTTTTATTTTCTAATATTTATTTTTAAATATTTATGATTGTTAATTATTATAAAAATTGATTGTACAACATTAACGTCTATTAAGTGATAATGCTCAATAGCATGTTTGAATATCTTACAGATTGGTGTAGTAAAAATGCCATACTTTTCGAAACCGGGGTAAAGTGCTGATTTTATGAAAAATATTGACAAGAATCATTAACAACTCAATCATGTCTCTATTTAAAACGTAAGATAAAACATGATTTAATCAATTCATAATGTAATTATGAATTTGTTAATCAACATTCGTAAGAAAAATCATCAATAGCTTTTAATACGTTGTGGAGATATGTTTGAAATCGACAATGTTTAGTTTTATAGGATTTGGAAAAAAGTGTATTTAGAAAATTAATTAAGACATATAACGATAAAATGTGTATCTATTTGATAACAGAGAAAAGTAACGAAGGTGTCTCTCCAATACAGACAGCGGAGGAAAAATATCAAACTCGCAAGAAGGGTAAGTAAATATTACTACATTTCTTTATTATATAACATAACGCTAAGTGAATATTGATGTGCATCTATATTCAAGCTAAATGGTAAGTAAATATTACTATATTTCTTTATCAACCAAGTCAAGGGTAAGTGAATAATAATTTAATCTTATATATTAAAAACAGAATGGCAAGTGAATATTGATGTATGTTTTAATCAATCAAAAGGTCAAGTCAAATAAACGCTTTGCTGTTTTTTTTGTACAAAGATCAATGTGGTAATGTGTCAGTTCCTGTCAATATGTTTTCATTTTGAAGTTTTTATATATTTTCTGATCGCAGATCAGGAAATACAATGCTGATAGACATTCAATCTTTGCGACAAACCTAACAAAAAGTAGTTCTCAAAAAAGCTTAAAACTAGCGATGTAAAAGAAAGAAATATTTTTATTTTTTTATAAGTATCCAACAAATTACAACGCATTCAAAGTTTAAAAGTAACGTTGGCTTAAAGAATTATCAAAATGCAAAATCACAAATTACGTGTTTTATTAAAATTTTAATCAATGAAAATGCTGTTTTAGCGATGTCGATTACCGAATACTTCAGAGCGTATTACACAAATAAATCTGACTGTCGAGTAGTGCAATATATAAATGTCGAACTGTTTTGGCGAGAAGTAACGCTCAATTATTTACATCAGTGTTAAACAACTGGTTTATCATGAACAAAATACCTCGAAATTAATAAGGATTACAACCCTAAATTGAAATTCTAAATTTATAATTTTTCGATTTTATCCAGGCTTCGTCTTATAACTTCCCCGTTGTGCAGGAGAAACGCGCTCGTTTAGGGTTCGAGAGGTCTGTGGTTCAAATCCCAGTCGAGAGAAACTATTTGTTTTATTTTTTAAGTGTTTTTTTTTCTTCAAGAAAGTAGCCACGATGTGCAGGGATAAAGTGTAGCTGTCATAAAAAATGAACATAAATGATTTTGATACAACTCTAGTCATGCAATAATCGGTATGTATCAAACTTAAACTGTTCTAGTAAAAAAACTAAACGCACTCGCTGCATCTAAGCGCCCTGCAAGATGAATTATAGTATATAAAAATAAACGTATACAGGAAAATACATACAGATATACAGAACGATTTAGTTTGCAAAGATCGTAAAATACCACAGAGCTTGCATCTCTTTGATTAATATATATAGGATTTGTTTACTATTAATACAGATTTTATTTTCATCATGAAATATGAAAAGAAGTGTTCATGACTGGCGGTAACCACGACATAAATATGATAATTTTTATACCACAAGATGAAATAAAGTCTGTATTTATAGAAAAAACTTGAATTTTCTGATAATCATATACGAGGGTTGTCCCAAAAGTCCGTGACAAATTTTATAGCCGGTTCATTTTTGACGCCAATAGAAAATAATTCACACATATAACCGTAAAGTTTATTATTTAACATTACAACAAATCATTTACAAAAAATTTACCCTAGTTACTTAGAAATTTTCAGTATTAACGACATTGGTTTGAGTTGCCAGCGCACGTCAAATAATTTACATTTTGTTATGAATAGGCTGAAATTAATTACGTATATTTCAAATATCTGATGATGTGTCTGCACAATTCCACGTTGACTTCTTCTGCTGCTATGTTTAAATCATCTCTGAACATTTTAGTTAAATAACTTAAAAAACGAAAAAGATACGAATAAATGAAAATATCTCATATAAAATAGGAAAGTTAAAATGGCGACGTTCGAAGAATTTGCGGCGCAGTGAACATGTCACTCAGGTTTCATGACTATTTCGAGATGACACATGTAACGATTTTCAACAAATATACCAAATATGACAGTTTAGCAACATATTCTGAGCATTTGTGTACAAAAGGCATGAACGGAACCAGAGTTTTGCGCTACAAAAAGCGAAAATAAGGAAAACACGGATAGAAAGACCGATCTTCGTCGCCTATTTCCTACAGCTAAAAACAGGAGTAACGAGACCGGAAGTTCGCGTAAAGCAAAAAATATGTATGCCATCCAAACATTCAACAGGCATTAACAACCACATGATTTAAGTCAGAAATTGACGATTTATGGGTACCATTAATGCGTTGAAAGCCATTGAGAGTATTTGAGAAAGGCGCCTTATATAGATTTAACGCCGTCTTTGACGTTGGACGTGCGCCGCGATTCAGTTAGTTGCCATGGTGTTTATGGCATATTTTTGTTGTTTGTTGATATTTATCTATGAAAATTTGTGAAAATGTTTAAATTATATAGGTTTATAACATATTAAAATATCAAATTCGTACCTGTTTTATTTAGCTTTTAATCAATTTTGTCACAGAATATTGGGACAACCCTCGTACATTTACTTTTTTACATAACACCCTTAAATTCTGTGTATTGACTGAATTAAGAAGAAAGTATTCCGGCAAGACACTAGTGAAAATATGTTTCACTCTAGGGAAAATTATGTTTTTTATGGTGGAAATACGGAAAATGAAAATACGCATTTGATTTAAACAATATTTCTCAATATTTATTTATCAGCATATATTAAATCAATTTATTTCCCTTTTAATTTTAAATATACATTTCGCAAAATAGAACGTCAAAATGGTTTGCACTTTCTAAATTTTGCGACATTGTAAATTTGGCTATTCAGTATTGTCCATTGTTACGTAACCTTTCTTTATAAAGAAAGAAAATTCGTATATAAAATTATTGACGTGGGACGGCACTTGCAAAACAGATCTATTTGCTCGTGTTCCTGTTGCATGGCAATGTTCTTGTCGGTGGTTTTGGTACAAATGAATTCATATTGGTTATCAAGTTGGTTAGTGGGATATAACGGGATATATAACATCTGTTGGCAAGTTAGATAAGCCGGAAGCAGGATATAACATTATACGTATATAGTAAATAGCTTTCATCGGCAAGTTTATAGCTTCTGCTTGCAAGTTGTATATATAGAGGATATTAAATGAGTGTAGTTTAATACTAAATTTATTGAACGGGTTGAATAAAATCATATTATGCGAGCCTCTGGATATAATGGTATATAGAAAGTTTTAGTCGGCAAGTTGGTTATAAAAGAACGTATAGCCTTTGTTGGAAAATTTGATATATGGTATATATACAATGTTGCTTGTCGGCAAGTCTTGTTTAACGGTATGTATAGCCTCTGTCGGCAAGTTTGATATAACAGTACGTTCAATAACTTCTGACGGCAAGTCTGATATTGCAGTATGAATAGCCTCTGTCAGCAAATTTGATATAATACTACGTATAGCCTCTGTCGGCAAGTTGGGTATGACCGTATTAATAGCTTCTATCGGCAAGTATGATATACTGGTATGTATAGCCTGTTTCGGCAAGTTTTATATAACAGTACGTATACATAGCTTCTGCTGGCAAGTCATATAATGGTATGTATAGCGTGTGTCGGCAAGTTTGATATAACAGAACATACATTGTGTATAACCTCTTTCAGCAAATTTGATTTAATGGTATATATAGCCTTTGTCGGCAAGTTGAGTATAACAGTAAGTATAGACCCTATCGGCAAGTTGGAAATAACAGTACGTATAGCCTCTATCGGCAAGTTGTTAATAACAGTACGTATAGCCTCTATCGGCAACTTGGAAATAACAGTACGTATAGCCTCTATCGGCAAGTTGGATATAAATGTATATATAACTCTACAGATTTCTTCTGTAGGCCAGTTGGATATAGACCTTTTTACGACGCTCTCCGTTGCTATGAAAAATCGACCGGAATAAGAATTTTCTCGCGCATGCGCAATCTACGTAGGGCAGAAAATACTTTGCCCTACATAGAAATATAGTAGAAGTTCATAAACAATTCCGAGTTAGTTCAAGGTAAACGGTAGAAAATTATATAAAATAGATTTCAACAAGTATAGAAAAGATGACTTTATAGCTTTGTGGCGAAGAATGCCATAAAAGGCACAGAAAAGATACTTGTTTAAGAATTTACGATCATGGACCTGACACTGAGATCATTTTTTTTAAATAAGATGTGGAAATATATCTATTAGCAAATGAAAAGTCAACTTATTTGCTGTTGAAATAGTTCATTTAAAAACGAAAGAAATTATATAACATGAAATCGAGATTAATTATCATTCAGAAAAAATATCAGAACAGGTGATAATGCATTTTTAGTGTTCAATATATACCTGATTATATCCTTTATCCGATTTGCCTGTGATGCAAACAGAACAAAAATAAGTCACACAAATATATTTTAAATAATTAATTTTTTTTCAAAATCTTGAGAAGTTAAGATGGGTTGTTTGGAAAAGATATAACACACATTTTATCCGCTTCTTCGTAATGTTATTTTTAATAATGCACGTCACACAATTTTTCTCTTCTCAAAATCCATAAACATTGATCGGTATATTTAAAAGTTACATAAATTACCATTTTAATAAGCGTAACTGATTAACTATATCGTGATATTTAAACGTCCAGGTTGAATGAACAAACGTTCGGGTTCCAATCTGTTTGACACTTGCCGCCTGACCAATCCAGTTATTCAAAGGAAGTGTACAATACAAATTGTGTAATATTATGTAATACAGGGGTAATAAAATTTTATCTTTAACTACCTGCTGTTTCAATTTAAATTACTGATGGAAAAGTAGTCTAATGATACCTTAAACAAAGACATGTGTGTGCCCGTTTAGATCATTGAATTATTACTCCCGCACATTTTCGTAGATCTGTTAAAAAAATAAATTCACGTTTTCAGTACTTACCGCCTTAAGTCATCCCAAAATTAATATTTTTTTGGTGACATAACATGAAATCGCATCTATTAAATCCTTAAAGTATGATTAACTGTAGACATCGTTATTGCTTTTTGCCCTACGCAGAATGCGCATGCGCGAAATGCAGCATTCGTTGCTAAGGTAAATCGTATTGTAAAAAGGTCTATAACGGTATATATAACTTTAGTCCAACTTATTAG